CTCCTTATCGCAGGACTGTCCCTGGCTACCCAAATGCTTTCTCTGCTCTGCACATCAGTTCTTTGGCCTGTGTCTTGCTTCTCTTCTTTCTGAAGCTCATTTGCATCAGGACTTCCACATCTTTGAAGGACAACCGATTTCTCATCTGCTTTGGGAAGTCTTCTATGAGTCGCTTCAAGTCTGGGAAGTCTTCCCCCATCTCCACACATGTTTACACCTACCACCATGTCTTTAGCATCTCCTAATTATTCAGCTATAACTAAGCAACCCAAATCCAGAAATGCCAGATCTGAAGTGCTCTAATATCTGAATTTTCCTAGACACCCATGACATCATAGGTGGACAATTCCATACCTGACCTCCTGTGACAGTCTGCAGTCACAACATGGGCCAACTAAAATTACTGCATAAAATTTCCTCCAGGCTGTGTGTATAAATTGTGTAAGAAACATAAATGAATTTCATCTTTCTACTTGGGTCCCATCTCCAGGATATCTCATTATATATATGCAAATATCGTCATCTCTGGGAAACGCTGAAACACTTCTTGCCGCAGGCACTTTGGTTACAGAAAGCTCAACCTGTATTTAAATTTCGTTTTCTCAATAAAACTGCAGTTGTTTTCTAATGGTAGGTATTCTGCCGTCTTCTTTGGATTCTTTTGCAATGCATGTGCTTGCCCAGTCGGACACTTAGTAACCATGAGTTCATTCTTTCTTTCTTTCTATCTCTGTCTCTCTCTCCCTCCCTCTCTCTTTCCTTCCTTTCTTCCTTCCTTTCTTCCTTCCTTCCTTCCTTCCTGCTTGCCTGCCTGCCTTGAGTTCTTGGTATTCTTGTTGAAGCCACTTGAGTGCTGAGGTTACAGGTATTAAGCACACAGTTTTTGACAGCTGAAGTCTGCATGGGAAGAAGGCACTATTCATTCACCAAGAGCAGGCCAGGCACTTTTTAATCATTCTCCAGATGGTGATAGCTTGGCTACTTTTGCATAGATTTCCTAGGTAGTGATAAGAAGAGTCACAGATCATATCATCTAAGTCTTTTTTATTCATCTATAATCTTCAGTCCACTCTTCCTTTTAGCCCATACCAGTTCCTCTTCATCAAGGAGTGGAATCGTATGTTCAACTATACACAAGCCAAAGGACCCACTGGAAGAAATTTATTTGTTCTGGCAGATGGAATTGTTGTATCAGAAAAGGGTGTGGGATATAAGGTTAGTTCTACCTCTTAAAAAGCTAAAGGAGAGCTGGAGAGATGGCAGAGTGTCCAGAGCACTTGCTACTCTTGCAGAGGACCAGATTTCAGTTCCCAGTGCCCACACAGAGTGGCTCACAACCACCTTTAAGTTCAGGTCCAGGAGTCCAGAGTCCTCTTCTGAACTTCCATTTTTTTGGTACACACACATGCATCTCCCTCCACAAACACAGAAATGCATAAATAATTTTTAAACTCAGTCTTAAAAAGAAAACAGAGTAAGAAAAGTAGCATTTATACCTGCTTCGTTTCTACTGTTAGAATTGGGGACAGGCAAGCTCAGCCCTCTTTTAGTAATTTATTTATTAATGTCTTTATTTATACCATGGAGGTGGAAAGGGGAATCCACTGAAAGCCAAGTGGTGTGTCCAGTGGCTTTGCAAAGAGACACCTCCAGCAATGTCTACAGTCAAGGTCCTAACAGAATACTATCTCTGCCATAGTGAAGGGCAATTCATCTCCCAACAGTCTACTTTCCAAGGTTCCATCATGAATTCTCCTGCTAGAAATGCTTAAATCAAAACAGAATCTTAAGAAGTCTAACTCTAAATTGCACCTAGAGCCTGGCTACGAGGTCTTAAATCAGCACAGTTTATCAGTGTATGCTGTTGGTTGCTTTAGGATGTGTCTGAAGTGCTTAGAAAAATTCCTGATGCTTAATAGGTACCCAATAAGCATTTTTAATGGAATTTATTCTTAAGTTCTTCAGTCACATGTGTGCACGCCTATACACATGTGTGTGCTTATGGTTTCAGTGTAAGATGGCATTCATGGGTTCCTGTGTTAGAATTAACCATGAGTTAATTCTCTCTCTCTCTCTCTCTCTCTCTCTCTCTCTCTCTCCTTCCTTCCCTCCCTCTCTTCCATTCCCTTCCCTTCCCCTTCCTTCCTTCCTTCCTTCCTTCCTTCCTTCCTTCCTTCCTTCCTTCCTTCCTTCCTTCCTTCCTGTCTGCCTCTGACCCACAGTGCAAACAATTCAAGTTTACTTGGACATGAAGTCATGGTTAAGAGCATGGAACCTCTAAGTGGCAAGATGCCTTTTCAGTGTCTTTAAACCTTTGTGGTCACTGCTGACTTGGTGATAACTATCAGTTGTTGGAAATATGAAGGTAAGTGATAAGTTTTGTCTTTAAGCCTATAAGAGAGTTAGACTCAGTCAAAATGCTGCAGTGGACTGGCCATACCTGTAATGCCAGAACTCTGGAGACAGAAGAGAAAATGCAGCAACAGGGTTAAGTATAAAGAGAGGCGTAAGAAGGAGGAGAGATCAAGTCAGCCCTGGGACTCAGCGGAATGTGGGGTCACCGAGAAGATGACACTTATGTCAGACTGTGACGTTTGAACAGAGATCTGGGAAACAAAGAAAGAAGAAGACATCTGAGGCACAGGGTGTTGAGTGGATCTCAGGGTCCCGTCCTGCTCAGCCAACATGGCTTGTATGTACAAGCAAGACACTTGGTCCCTTTGGATATCTAGTTCCTCTTTACTGAGAAAATACACTACACTAGCTAACCACAGAAACGCACTAGCATCCTTTCCTGCTTGGAAGTCTGATGAGTTAGCAGAAAAACCTGTTCTAGTGTTCTTATTGCCTAGGGTAAGCATGAAATTCCCTGGTCTTCGTGTTCTCTGGGGTGGGAAGAGCACTCACCCTTTCAAGCCTCCAGAAGCCCATTTAGTTAATGAATACTGGAGGTGCTGTGGGATTGAATCACAGCGTGCCATTGGCATCAGCAGAGCACTCCTAAAGACAGACTCTCGCATGCAGGCTACCAGGGTGCGTAGGAGAGAAGGGTTAATTGTCCTCTCATTTCTTCTTCTGTTGTAGCGATTCTCGTGGAGAATCATCTGTTAAAAAGGAGAGATAATTATGACAATATCCTCCATGCGTGTTTTTTTTAAGTTGGAGATAGTAACTGTGTGTAATGCCAGCTCTTCATAATGTGTATTTGCATTTTTTAATTTCGATTTTTATTTTGTTTTGTGTATGGATGTTTTGCCTGCATGTGTGTCTGCACACCACGTGTGTGCCTGGTGCCTGTAGATGCCAGAGGAGCAGGAAGGTCTCCTGGGACTGGAGCTATAGATGGCTGAGAGCCCCCATCTGGGTGCTGGGAATCAAACCTGGGTCATCTGGAAAAGCAGTCAGTACTCTTCTGAGCCCTCTCTCCAGACCCCATAATGACTGTTTTTAATTTAGTGGACAGAGTTAGCATCTATCTCCAAAATACTCTAAAATCTGAAACTTTCTGTTCAATATCATGATGTGCCAATTCCTATACCTGACCTGATATAAAAACCCAAGAGGCATTTAATAGATTGTACGCAGTTATCTCCAGAATATGTATATGAAATATGCAAGAAACATAAATGAATTTTACATTTATAGTTGGATTTCATCTTCAAGATATATCCTTTTAAAAAAGATTTTCATTTAATTTATGTGTGCATGTTCTTGAGTATGCTTTTGGAGGCTGGAAGAGGAATCAGATCCTCTGGAGTTGGAATTACAGATGCTTGCAGACCTACTGACCTGGGTGTGAGCAACTAAACTCCAGTCCTTTTGTAAAAGTGCCCAATGTCTCAACCTCCGAGCTCTCTCTCCTGCCCTAGAGAGTTCATCATATATATGTAAATATTCTAAAATCCAAAGCCACTCTGGCCCAAGCATTTTGGGTAGACACTATGTGACCTGAAAGTGGAAACATTATGTTGTTAGTATTCTTCTGATAAACTATTTTTAAAGGCTTCACAATGTTCTATATATTGTATGACTTACTCATGACATAGTAAACCAATCCTCTACCACAGGGCAGGGTGATGGGGTCCTAGCATTGCACATTCATAAACAACTCCGTGATGAACATCTTGAGCTAGCTCTTTGGGCACATAGGTGATTACTGTAAGCCTGGGATGGTATTAAGCAGGCAGATTGGATTCAAAACTAAGCCTTCTGCATGACTGCATGCATGGAAGCTTTGCTTAGAGAGTTATTTTACCCTGGTTGTGTGTGCTGGGGATGATTGGCCAACCCAAGACCCTGGCACACCCTGCTGAGCCATATTGGTACTGCCACCTGGCACCTCGCTATGAGCTCAGAAACCTGCCACCGGGCTGGGGCCTCCCAGTTGAGATAGAAGGCTTGCAGGGTGGGAAGGCACCGTGGGGAGAAGGAGGAGAGGGCCCTTAGCAATTTTTTATGACACTAGGCTTCTGTTCAGTGCCTTGGATAATTAAAAATAGACCCCCACCCAGGCCTCATCTTCAGTCTGAAATGTACTGCGTGTGGATTTTGGAATTAGCTCCTGAGGGACAGGGTGGAAGCATGGTCCTCTGGGACATTTCTACTAACTGCAGAAGTGTTCCAAAAGCTTTCTGTGGAGATGAGGCCTCTGCAGGCAGTGCTCGGAGAGATGACCTCATAGGTCCTTCCCATCTGTAACTCCTGCGATGATAGGAACAGATCTGAGACTGTGGCCAGACTCAGAACACAAGCATTTAAAAAACAAGCTGGGCTGTGCACAGTTATGGATAGATAAGATCTGCTTTCCCTGTGTTTTCAGCTCTGCTCTTGGAGAATGGCAGCATCTCTTCCTTAGTCCCCATGATTGGAGGGAGGTCTGTCTTCCTGAGTAATGGCAGAACATTCCAGAATCCACTCTTTGGGGATTTACAGATGGTCTCCACCATAGTCCTGGCTGCACATGGAAAGAGAGGATCAGTGTACCCTCTGCCAGCCTCACATGCTGTAAAATGTCCTGTGATATCATCAGGAGAGTTGTGATGGAGCCACAGACTTCTGTGTTTTCCCTTGGTGGCTTCAGGAATGTTTTCTCAGTTGGAGTAGAAACTATGGCTGCAAAGGAACACACAGGGCTGTGATATGGAGATGGAACCAGAGTCCTATTACTATAGACTGGGCTGCAGGTATCCAAACTTGATCCATTTGGCCAACATTTACCACAAGAATGCTACAAATTCTTCTGTTTCTTACTGAACTTTTGAAGGCAAGCATGTTCATTTGACTTGTCTCCAGAAATATGGTATGCCCTCTGTAGATATTTTTTGCACAAATGAGTGAGTGAATGAATGAAGCATCTACTATGGCAAGGCACGGTGCCAGGTGCCAGGACACCAACACAGTACCACAGAAAGGCTTGACACTGCATTTACACCTTTATGGTTCCAACAGGCAGTCTGTCGCTGTTTCTCCTGAAATCTGGTGCTAATGATGCCCTCCTCATCCCAGGAAGGCTGTAGTGGTTTTATCTGTTGGGCAAATGCCTAACCTAGGACCCAGACTCAGGAGGTATCTAGCAGGTCCTTACCATGCTTTTCCTGACGGGCGTTCTGGACTGTGTGGCTCCCTGAAGACCCAGCCAGACTGGGAAGATGCTGCCTAAGAGAGCTCTGGCTGCCCTGGGTTCCGCTGCCCTGGGTTCCGCTGCTCCTCCCTGTGCCCGGTGGAGGAGACTGGCGGTGCTTCCACCAAGTCATCCATCTTTTCAAGTCCCACACCTGGAGCTGTGCACGGAGAGGGATCTGCTCCAGCGGCAGCTGGTTCATTTTCCAGCTTCAGGCCAGACACTCGGGAATTAAGAGAGGAGACGGGTTTGCGACCCTCTGCATGCACTGAGAAGCCGTCGCTTTGGTTCTGTGCACTGGAATACCAGCTTGGTGAGCATTGCCTTGCATAAAACCACACCAGTGCACCGTATGGCACACCAGAATTCCATTATAGTTCAGATATAGAAGGTCTCCATGGTCCACACTGGGGAAAAGGAGGAACAGCACCATGAATAACTATTCTTCGTACACCTAACATTCCCACAAACTAATTGCTCATTTGGTTAAATAAAAGGCTCTGCTACGGCCGGGCAGTGGTGGCCCACGCCTTTAATCCCAGCACTCGGGAGGCAGAGCCAGGTGAATTTCTCTGAGTTCGAGGCCAGCCTGGGCTACCAAGTGAGTTCCAGGAAAGGCGCAAAGCTACACAGAGAAACCCTGTCTCGAACCCCCCCCCCCAAAAAAAGGCTCTGCTACAAGTGTGGTCCTTAGCGAATCAAGCTAATGACATTTAATAAAAATGGGTCAACTACCTGAGCCTTGTGCTTCATACCAGAAACCTTAGCTGAAATGTTTTTACGTGGTAACGCTGTCGATGGAAGCAAAAAATAATTTAAACAAATAATTAGCCTTGAGAATAAAAGTGTACACAAAAGCACAATAAATGAATTTACTAATTGTTCTTCCCTGCTGTGGACATTGCTCAAAGTTGAATTTTAAGCCCTTGAATAAATAGAAAGTTCTGTACCAAGCCACAAAACAGAGTGACTCACCATTAGTCACTAATGCTGCCTTAAAAACAAACCAGAGCTCTCGGAGAAAATGTCTTCACCTAGGCAGACTTGAAAATAAAGCAAGTCTTGGATGATAAACTCTTCTTTGAGTCTTTGGGAAAACACACACACACATATGTGTGTGTGTGTGTGTGTGTGTGTGTGTGTGTGAGAGAGAGAGAGAGAGAGAGAGAGAGAGAGAGAGAGAGAGAGAGAGAGAGAGAGATATTTGTGGGGTTTAATGCCCTGTGTAATGTCAGACAGGCACCGTTTTTCTTATTCAAAACTCTCCATTAGCTACAAAAGAATAAATTTGGTCTGTCCTGACCGTGTGATCAAAAATGTCAACTTCCATCTCTACCTCAAGCCCCTGCTGAAGGGGAATAAAAACGGAACCTCAAGTATTTCTATGTCTGCTGTCTTCTTTACTAGGTACAGACGGTCTTCTCCTCCGTCTCCCCCTCCTCCTTTACCTTCTTCTCCTTCCTCCTTTAATTCCTATCAAGACAGCTTCTCTGTGTTTGTCAAAGAGCTATAGGCCGCAGACTGAGAGACAGAATTGGTCTCCTTTTGTCCAGCCTGGGGACCACAGGAAAGGTAGACAGCGCTCGAGCGATGCTCAGGAGTTGGGTCCCTTCCTGACAGCATGGCCAGGTGTTTCCTCAAACAGAAAACTCCAGCATCAAAGGTCTTTCTCTCATAGCGCTGTTCGCTAAATATGGTCCCCAAAGGCGGTTATTTCTAACTTTTAAATTCCACATAAAGAGACGATGCAGGGCACACCTAAGTACAGTGCACTGCAAAGCAAACCCATCCATTAAGGAATCACACCTTCTGCCTAGGACTTTGCAATCCAAGATATGGAATATCTGGATAGCCATTGCACTGTGTGTGTGTGTGTGTGTGTGTGTGTGTGTGTGTGTGTGAGAGAGAGAGAGAGAGAGAGAGAGAGAGAGAGAGAGAGAGAGAGAGAGAGAGAGAGAGAGAGAATCTGTCCTCTCATCTACACTTTATATTGCACTGGACTGAGTCACAGCATTATACCCTGCTCCTATCAGGGAAAGAGAAAATGAAGGAGGCCCTGGGCGTCAGGAAATGTCTCAGGCTGCGCGTTCAATGTCACAGATCCTAGGAAAAAGAAAAAAGAGGTGAGCGATTTAAAAAGGGGGGGCGCTAACTACTAAACACTATTTGAAACACTGCTTGGAAATACTCCAGCGGGTGTGCAGCAAAGACCTTGGGGTGTCCAGCAATGAGAGTTGGAGGAGAAAAAGAAGGTGGGGACAGTCTGCACCGAGCTGAAGGTTCCCTAAGTCCGACTCCAGGTGCAGCCAGGGCAAGGCAGGGAGCAATGCAATAGCGCGGTTTTGGGGGCTCCTGCAGGGACCTCTCTGTCCACCTGGGTAAGGTTCTCTTAGAAAAGTTTGTTCTCATTCCTCCCACCCTGCTGGGGGCGGGGGGCGGGGTGCAGGGTGTGGGGGTGGCATTCCCTGGATACAGGAAGGATCCAAGAAGGAGGGGGCGCTCGCGCGCGCCTCTCCTGTCGATCTTCGCTGTTGACAGCCTGGATGAGGTCACGGTCTCTTCATTTTTGTTTGTCCAGATAGTGCATTGCTGATGATTTGGGTAATTTCGGCAGAAAAGGAGGCCCCGGCTCCTCCCTCGGGGCCAAGGAGGAGGCGGCGGTTGCGGGTGGGGCGACAAAGGACACTGCAAGGAGCTGGGAGTGGCTGGCAAGCCAAGGTATTTTTCCATCTTTACATTTCACTCCGGGCCTTCCAAGTCCATCAGCTCAAACCCTGGCTCCCCCTAAGAGCTACTAGAGAGAGCATTTCTAACCGGCACAAAATCTAACAGAGAACGCGGTTTTCAGCCAAAGGCAGCACAGCCGGGAGCCCCGACGCTGAGATGCCCTGAGCCAGAAGGAGCGGGCTTGGGGACGCGGTGGGGGGAGCCGCCCCCCCCCCCCCCCCAGGCGGGCAGGGGCTGAGCTGGTTGCTCTCTGATGATTTCTTACCGAGAAGTCCTGAGCTCAGGATCTCAGCGAGACAGATGGCCTGGTGCCAAGCTTCCCTCTCTTTGGATCCTGGCTCTGCCATCTCCCATCTGCGTGACCTTGGGGCCGAGATTTGACCTCTCTGCTTCTCAATGTCCCTCTCTTTGAAGTGGAGATAATGACAGGACCCACCTTCTCTCCCCACTGTGAAAGGAGTTCATTCGTAGAAGGCATTAGAAGGAAGTCTTAAGTATCCTAACTGTTAGCTGGAGTCTCAGTAGCTTCCTCCAGAGAGGGCAGAATTTGTCTTTGCATCCAAGTGAAGAACGAGTCAGATGTTGGAGGTTTTTTTTTTTTCTTTCTCTTTTTTCCCTTTCCTGGAATGTTCTCCAGGATGATTTGGCTTCTGAAGAGGGAGTAATAAGGCAGCTGAACTTGCCTGGTTCTGTCTCCCACTCATTATCGCACAGGAGTAACACAGGTTAATCACATAGCTAATTAAGAGATAACATTAATGGAATCTGAGTTGGTGCCCTGATAAAGCCGGAGTCCTGGCAGATAAATGCTGAGGTGGAGCCAAGCCATTTATTTGAGGAGCAGCAGGGCTCCTATCAGGGCACAGGCTCCACTTCCATTAAAGTTATTGATATTACACCCCAATCTACAACTGTATGAAAATCCAGGTCTCTCTCTCTCTCTCTCTCTCTCTCTCTCTCTCTCTCTCTCTCCATTCCTCCCTCTCTCTGTTCTTCTCCCTTCCCCTTCTGTTTTCTCCTCTCCTCTCTCCTCCCCTTCCCTCCTCTCTTCTGCTGTCTCTGTCGTTCTGAGGGAGCTCAGTGTTAGCCATCCAGATTAAACCCACAAAGAGCAAGCTAGGTAACACAGCCTTCATCACTGGACACACTTAATATTGAATTAACAGATACATGAATGACTACATACTAAAAAAATTCATTCATGCAAACACAGCTGCAATGACTATGTTGTTATTCTCAGAGAATGTTGACTGGGAATCTAGCAGAGCCTTTTTGAATTGATTATTTCTCTCTCTCTCTCTCTCTCTCTCTCTCTCTCTCTCTCTCTCTCTCTCTCTTGGACTTTGCCTTCAAGCAAATCAATAAAGCACCCAAAGTGCCATTTCAGTACCTCTCCTGTCTCCTTCCGATTCTCTTGATGAAAGAGCTTTTGGAGACCCTCCCTTCCCAGCTTAATAAATTCTCCTTCAGTTTCTTTAATTGTTGCTTTTTTTACCTTTCTCGGGGAATCATGATCAATTATGGCATTCAGCTAGCTGATAGCTGACAAATGCTATTTGACATAATACAGCCATGACTTAAAGAAAGAGCCCCTTGCTAACTGCGTAGCTGCTTCGCTTCGGGAGAAACAATGATTGTATTGTACCCTCTTGGAGGTGTGGGCTTGGGCATCTGCAGTGAGCCAAGTTTATTTCACTGAGAGCCACTGACAGCTTGAAAGGGAACCAGACACTCAAGACACTGTCATCTCTGGTCATGGATTTAGTGCACATCATCACACATGTCCTGTGGGCACTCCTCATCTCTGCTCCTTGAAACCCCCACACAAGCAAATTCCCTTCAGAGTCAATAAGCTTCGACAAAGGCCTTCACTAGGGTGAAGGGACCTGACAGCAGAGCAATGAGACTTCACTTGGCTTTCTTGTGCTGAGAATGTTAAATACCAATTCCATAATGAGAGGTAAACACGGGAGCTGGTGGAGAATTACTAATCAGCCAGCAGCAACTCACTGGCCATTCAGGTGTGCCTGGGAGTGGATCACAGGACTCCCAGGCCATTCAGGTGTGCCTGGGAGTGGATCACAGGACTCACCGGCCATTCAGGTGTGCCTGGGAGTGGATCACAGGACTCACTGGCCATTTGGGTGTGCCTTGGAGTGGATCACACGACTCACTGGCCATTTGGGTGTGCCTGGGAGTGGATCACAGGACTCTCTGGCCATTTGGGTACACCTGGGAGTGGATCACAGGACTCTCTGGCCATTCGGGTGTGCCTGGGAGTGGATCACAGGACTCACTGGCCATTTGGGTGTGCCTTGGAGTGGATCACAGGACTCTCTGGCCATTCAGGTGTGCCTGGGAGTGGATCACAGGACTCACTGGCCATTTGGGTACACCTGGGAGTGGATCACAGGACTCACTGGCCATTTGGGTGTGCCTGAGAGTGGATCCGAACTGTGCCACTCTTGCACATCTTGGACTCAAGGGCTGGGGTGTGTCTCCGTGGGTAAAGCACCTGACTAGCATTCACTGTGTCCTGGGTTCAATCCCTAGCATTGTGTTAATCCAGGTGTGGTGCCACATGTCTAGAGTCCCCACATGTGGAGACCGAAGGCAGGAGAGTCAGAAACCAAGGTCGTTTCCATCTGTATTAGGAGATTGAGCCAGGCCAGGAGAAATGTATCTCCTAAAACAGAGCCTGTACTTTATGGGAGATAGTATTTAATTGTTTTATAAGCCAGGCTTATGTGGAAGAAAGCTGAATTCCAAAGGAGGAGGAGGGAAATACCTACTCATTATGAGACAAGGTCTCACCACAAAGTCCAGGCTGGCCTTGAACTTGTGATCCTTCTCTCTCAGCCTTCCAGTGCTGGGATGTTAGGAATGCATCATTCCACCCCACTTCCATTATGCCTGTTAACTCAGAGAACAGGAAAATTTATCCGAGCTGGTTGTATTTGGTGGTCTGTATTACAGCTTTGAATAGGAGTAAATTTAAATTCAAGGAATAATCTGCCTTTTATTTTCAGTTACATAAATTAAAATATGAGTTGAAAGTCGAACATTCATGCAGTCGTGTGCTCCTCAAATTTTCCATTTATTGAGTCTCCAAAGCAGATAGTTTTTTTTTTAAATAATTTACCAAATAAATCTGAAAACACTGGAGACAGTAAAACTCAAGAGGAAAATCTTTTTTCTCCTGAAAATGTAAGCAGATATTTTACAATAAAATTAGATGTCATAATTGTGCTGTTATATATTAAGGTCTGTAATTAAGCCTTATAAACACATGATTACACTATTTACTTTAATTGCTTCTTTGGCAAGTAACTCTTAAGCATATAAATATGTGACAGGAAATAGTCTGTGAAAACCGCACACAAATATCCTCACACGAGAAAAAGGACTCACTAAGTAAAGAAACTCACAGCTAGGAATTAAATCTCTAAAATCTACATACAAAGCAAACCGGGGTTTTATGGAGATGGTGACCTACCGTGCCTATGTACTACAGAGTAAATTCTATTCCTCTCAGTCCTTGCTAGATACACACCATTTCCATGGCAAGCTAACTCTAATTACCAGTAATGTCAATACAAGGTTCGTGCCCAAGAACACAGAATAGCTACTGGACAGGAGGAGACTCTTGCCTTTTTATACCTAGGGGACTGAACTTGAGTTTTCAAACACCAAGTAGGCCGGGGTGGATGGGTTCTCTCTCTGTGTCTCTCTGTCTCTGTCTCTCTTCCTCCCTTCCCTCCCCCTTCCCGTGCCCCTCTCTCCTCTCTCTTCTCACCCTCTCTGCTTTCCTCCGGCCTTCCTTCTCATTCTATTTAGAGTTACAGCGAGATGCTATACAAGATGTCCTTGGGCAAACAGCAGCTTCTGACTTTCTCAGAAAGTGCAAAACAAGTCTGGGGCTTGGTAAGAAGCTTGCTACCTGACCCAGCCCACCTTGCTACAAGGAATCTCCCTTTCCCTTCCCGCTGTTCTCGGAGGCCTTCATTATATCCAGATTTGTCTGCGTCTCCAGCCTCCACGCAGCTCTCCTGTTTCACACCTTTGCTTCTGCAGTATGTTACCTACCATCTGCATTCTTTCACTGAATTCCTTGTAAGTCCTTTCAACCAAGTTTTCATTTACTTCATGAGGACAGAAACAGTTTCATTTATTTCTCCCTATTCCCTGAGCCAGATGCACAGTCTCTAGCATGGAGAAGGTGTTTCTACGTGTTTATTGAATTGAATTATTGAATGTGATTCTCTTGGTCATCACCTCTCGTTCAGCGTGTGTGTGTGTGTGTGTGTGTGTGTGTGTGTGTGTGTGTGTGTGTATCACAGACAGACAGACAAAGACACAGATAGACAGAGAGACAGCGTCAGCATTTTTTCCTACCTAATACGATGGATTTTAAACAAGAGAAGGTGTATTTGTACTCTTGGCTCCAGAGGTTTCAGCCCGGAATCATTGACCCTGTTGCTTGGGGCCACAGCAGCACAGAGCACCATGGTATAAAAACATGGTGGAAAGGGCCCCTCAGCTCATTGCAGAACAGTCCACCATGATGTAAAACATGGTGGAAAGGGCCCCTCAGCTCATGGCAGCACAGTCCACCATGGTATAAAAACATGGTGAAAAGGGCCCCTCAGCTCATGGCAAGCCAGAAAGTGAGGAGGTAAGGGTCTAGGGTCTCCATATTCCCTTCAAGAACATGCTCACTGTGACTGATTTTTAACTAGTTCCACTTCTTGACAGATCCTCTACCTTCCAAAGCACTGGCTGAGAACTGATGGCTTCAGTCTAGGGACTTGTGGGGACATTCAGGACCCAAACCCAGACTGTATCAGCACGAGTTTGCGTCCTGCGATCCCATGATGACACGCTCTTAATTGTTCTGCCACACAACCACGCTCTGAGGTGGCCAAGCTCTGCCCTCGGCATCTCAAAACTCCCTCATACGTACCACTTGTCCTTTCTTCTCTTCACGTTTTTCTCACAGGTAAGTTGCCTTTTTCTTTTGCTTAACAACCCGATTAGCTTCTGGCTGGATTCTGACTGATAAGAGCACCTATTGCTGTTTGCAGAAATTCCTTATACAGTATTTGTATTTTTCAATAAAAAAAAAAGACCTAGGAATCACACTAGTTTATTGTCAGTGAGCATTTATTTTCCTGTAAATTCCCCTTATAATACCTGCTGGCATCCATTCTCTAGCAGAGGATGAGTTCTTCCTCTTTCTGGACAGCTGTCTTGAGCAGATTGAGCTACCCAGCTTCTGTTATTGGAAGAAGAATGCATAGAGAGGTCCTTAGCCCAAGGTGCAGCCCTTACTGAGCAGAGGCATAACATCTATGGCATTTCCTAAAAATCACTATGATAATCCCATGGCTATCCTGAAGATTAGAATCTCAGAGTATCATGGTTTGATGTTCATGGTGACCGCAGGAGAAGTTGAGGAGATCCTGCCTCAATACATATGGTGGAAAGTTATCAAGGAAGGCACCAATGTCAGCCTCTGGCCTCCACATGTACATGGCACACAGAGGTGTTCCCACACACTTGTGAACACACACATGAAGAAAGAAAAAGGCAAGCCAGAGATGGCCTCTAAGAATTGAAAGATGGCATTTCCAGACAGCAGACATCATCTGATGGCCACTGGAGTCATAGAAAGAAGACCTGTACTCAAAGGTCTGGACTACAGAGTCCCTGGCCCAGCTGTCACTAGAGGTAGAAGAAGAAGGAAAAGAAATTCGGTTCCCTTCTTTCCCCCAAATTCCAAAGCCAGAACCCAGAGCTTTCAGTAGCAACAGCAGCACAGTTTCTGCGGGGTAACAATCAAGAGCCACAGAGAAAATTAACCCCAGCCAGAGCAGAAAAAGACCCCAGCCAGTTCACCAACAGTTCTGAGGTTTTCCATTTTGCTCTGTTAGCTACTTTGAAAATGCGGACTAAATGGACCCTGGTAGAGGAACTCCAGCACACACGCATTTACAGCTCCTTACAGTGTGCTTTACTGCATATCGCTCTCCTTTCACGGCACAGCTGCCATCTCAACCAGCGTTGTTATTGTCTTCACAAGAACTGACGACACTGAGGGAGTCTTACAGGTGTTGTCTCAGACAGACGTTTGAGCACGGAGTTGCCCCCTCTTGACCATTACAAGAATTACACTGGTGCCTGTGACAGTTTATGTTGCTTGGCAACTCCACAGGGTCAATACCTTGGAGACAAATTTCTGTGTGTGTTTGTTAGGGATTGTCTAGATTAGGTTAATTGAAGTGGGAAAACCCACCCTAAATGTGGGCAGAACTGTTCCCTGGGCTGAGATGCTGAATTACATAGATAGGAGAAAACGGACCGAGCACCAGCATCCGTCACTTCCTGTGACATCCCCCTGCCACCATGCCTTCCCCACCAGGGACTCGCCTTTGATGTGAGTGAGAATAAGGCCTTCCTTCCTGAACGTACTCTTTTCAGGGTATTATTTTATCCCAGCAATGGAAGAATGAGGAATGGACTGTGGACTTGGCTGGGCTGGACTGGAAAAGCCGCCTGTTGGACTCACACATACAGATCCTTTTCTCCTTTTAGTGCAGACCATCTTTGAGACTGTTCCATCAGACAAGGTGACTGTCCCCTAGTAATCTCAACCTTCCTCCAAGCTGCGAGACATTACAATGCTTGTCCTGCTGGAGCCCCTTAGATCTCCCCCAAGGTCCACCCTTCTCTTCTCTTCTTTCTGGAACATAATTTTTGCATATTTTCTCTCCATAGCTGAGTATCCCAGGATCTGCTCTTCTTCTAACTGAGCTGCTAGAGTTTGGCTCTGACATGCCCAGGGAACCCTGAGATCAAATGCTTACTCTCTGTCTTGGTGCTGTTGGGAGGTGGGGTAACTTTTAGGAAGTGGGGGTTAGTTGGACACCCCTAGGGAAGGCAATCCCCAGACAGGGATAAGCCCTCCAGCCCCTTCCCTGTCTCTTTCCTTCCCACCCACAATGGAGTGAGCCAGGAATAGACCGAAGCCTCAAGACCGAGAAGCCAAACAACTTTTTTCTCTTATTAAGATTTATTTGCCTTGGCTATTTCATTATAGTCACAGAAACCTAACACAAACTTAAAAAACGAAACCTGTTTTCCCTCCAGAACCTTCCTTCGATTCCACTTATCGGTTAGGAATGCCCTCCATTATCCCACATACTGTCCCTTAGTGCCCGCCTGCTCTTTCTGCTTTCCTTTCCCTCCCAGTCGCCTGTCTCCTCTGTGACCTTCAACCGGGAGCACCTTGGGAGTGGCCTCTGCCCTCCTGCCTTTCTCCATGCAAGACCTTCCTCCCCCCATGCCCTACATACTTGCTTTCCCACCTCCAGGCTAATTCCCATCTCTCACTGGCTTTTGGAACTCACCCTCCTGTCTTCTAAAGTATCAGAGAGGAAAACCTCCTTTCTTAAAAATCAACATGTGCGTCATAATCAAAATTCAGAATAGGCGGCCTTGGTGTCTTTGTTTCCTCCCACGTTTCATTTCATAAAACATCTTGCCTGTGGCCCGTCTTAGGCTCATCCTTTCTCCTGACCTCACAGCTTCCTCCCCAAAGCACCAATCAGGGCGGCGAATCCAGGTTAAAACAAGCTCTGTGGCAATCTGGACTCCAAAGTCCTCCAAACCCTAAACCTGGTAGCCAAGGAAGGGGAACGTGCCCATCATTTCCAGGGTGGGGAGCCCCTGTGGGGATTTCTCAGCCTCCCATCTTAATGAGTTTAACTCCAGAGATGGGCAGCTAGAGCATTCCCGCTGAGCATAATTACCATGATGGGGCACCTGGGGAGAGATCGTCACAAAGATAACTGGGTCTCAGGCTATTTAGCATCTTACAGATGAGAGTAAGGTGGTGACTTGGAAAAATGAGGTCTGGTTGGGATCGGGAGATTGCTGTGGTTCATTTTTCCTCCCTCCTTATAGAGGCATACACTGTTGTGGTTTAACTGATGTGCATGAGCCCCAAGCACAAAGTCCAGTCACTTTTGGAATCACAGGATCCTGAGACCGGATGGGACCGGAGGGGTCAGGCTGGGCACACTTCCCCTCCTCCATCCCCTGCCTGCAGGCAGGACCTCCTGCTAATAGCCTTGGAAGGATGGCTCCCTACCCTTTTCATCAGAACCTCAGGAGGTCAGAACACAACACATAACCAAGGGCTGCCTGGGCACAGACATGCCCTGCAAAGGACTATTTGTGTGTGTTTATTCTGGCTTTCCTCACTTAAAAGCCACAGTGAAGGTCAGGGTCGGGTCCCTAACACAGGCAGCTTAGAGTAGCACACCGAAATGTCAAAAAATCACCGGGCAGCGTGAATGCACTGCAGAACACACAGGAAATATATTGAATCATCTTGTGCAAATTCACACTTCACTGAGGAGCCGAATGGGGAGCTTGACCTCTTACCCACTGTCAAGCTCTTCCTGGGAGTGCAGCAGGGTGGGTGGGCTTCTCTCCACACCCTACAAGCAAGTGGATGCCCTCAAGCAAGGATTGATGGCGGGGGCAACGGACAGGTAGTCTGAGCCATTTAGAGGTGACATTCAGACCCTGGCAGAAAGCAATATGCTAAGTGAGCAGGCTGAGAGAAGGCAGGGGGACTAGGGAGCAGCTGCCTCCACGCTGCTTCAAGGTTTCCTTTGTGTGGCTAAGGCATTTTCAAGATTCTTGTTTGGGGACTATGCATGTGAACCAGAGGAGGGGTGTACAGAATGTTTCAGAGAGACTCAGCTGTCCCATGGCACTACCCAGATGAGCAGGCATCTCCCAAGGAGCCTAGGCGTGTCCCATGACGACAGAATATAGAACATTGTAGAGCAAGTAGACCCAGCTCACTGAGGATTCTAAGAGCAAACATTTCTCTCTAAACCATCCTTAATCAAAGTCGTGGACTTCATGTATCTGAATTCTCTGGCGGAGGGCGAGAAGTCCATCCTTTTAAGGTCAATGAGCCAAACCTAGCCTATGTCGTGCTTCTGTGCAAGGTAAAACTAAGAATCTTAAAAATATATATATATCCCTTCAAATGCTCCTCAAGTTGAACTTAGTGGGGGTTATATGAATTTATAGAGGGGAAAATACTGGGGGTATTGGGGTAGCTGTGGGGGGATGGCGAGTGGATTCAATCACATGTCATTGTATATAATGTACGAAATTCTCACGAATAAAGAAAAGTTAATACATAAAATCCTTCTGAAAAGCCAGTTAAGAAAGGAGAACACAACACTGATGGTATTTAATTCACAAAGCCTACATTATTTACTATTTGGCCCTTTTCAGAAAATACCAATTCCTGATTAGGCCACTAATGCTAGAAATTCCATATTCATGGAGGACACTCAACAAATATGCAGATCACCCCACCAGACAGCTAATGTAGCAGACTCTGACCTGAGCCCCTGATATCTCCATTCTAGCAAATAACAAACGTATGTGCGTGCGTGCGTGCGTGCGTGCGTGCGTGTGTGTGTGTGTGTGTGTGTGTGCATGTGTGCACACAAGCTAAAAGTCATCTCCAAATGTTGTTTTTCAGGCACTATACACTTATTTGTTGAGATAGGGTCTTTCATTGTCCTGTAGCCCCTCAGGCAGGCTACGTTGGCTGGCTAATGAGCGGCAAGGCCCTACTCCATTTCCCCAGCGTTAGGTCTACTAGTACATGCCACCAGGCATGGCTTTTTTACATGACTTCTGTCAATTAAACACAGGTCTTCACGACTCGTGCTGTTCGAGCTATCACTCCATCTCTTCTACACACAAAAGATAGTTACAAAGTGGGTGGGTGCAAGATGATGTTAGAAATATTCCCTTTGAATTAACCACTAAGTATGTACTTGAAACTTCCTGTGTGCCTAGCACGCTCCTGAGTGTGGCAGAGGACAAAATCTGTGGAAGATTACTCCTCTTGTTCCGTCTGAGAAAGGACAACCTAGTTGGCAGAGGAAAGTTCTTCAGCTGAGCACAGTAGAGAGAAGCAGGGATAAAATGGCCGGCGTTGGTTTTACATGGAGTAGAGGTCATGAGCAGGGCTACTGGGATGGCACTTGGCACCTTGACTGGGATCAGTGAGCAGTGGGGTGTCTGAGGAGGAGTCAGCAGGGATTGTGGCATGAGAAGGGACCACAAACACTTGCAAAGGCACAACCCTGGAAGGCGCCTTTGGAATGAGTAAGACAGAAGTTTGGGCAGAGGAAAACAAGCCAGACCACTGAGCACAATCCAGAGAACAGTTCTAATGGTCCTCGAGGTAGCTTGGTCTCTACGCCCCTTCATCAAGGCTTAGACCCCACGCCACAGCAACAAGGACTCTGTGTCATTTGTACCTGCACTCATGTACCAACATCTGTCCCCTCTACTCTCTCCACACCTACCTCTTTGAGCTATTATTATTATTATTGGTTACTAATTTATCTTGTTCTTTATTATGTTACTCTTGCAAACTGGAGCCTTCTTTCCATACCATCTTATTTATAGAGAAAAGTATACCCATCGCCAGAGATCCACCTCAAACCTTCTGTTCTCCACAAAGCGAAATGTTCTTCAGTTTCTTCCCTTTGTAACAAAGTCAAGTAACTTTCACCTTTGTCGTATTGGTTGCTCAAAGAGCAAAAAGACAGAGCTTATGTTCTATAGAAACTATTTATCATCACCTCCATCTCTCTTTTTGCTGAGTTGAAGATCATGTCTTGCCCACCTCACTTCCTGGGTGCTAACAACAGCACACATGGCAGGGGTCAGTGGGTATCCCTTCACTGGACAACTGAATGACACTTTAACAGTGTGTTTTCAGATTCTGGGGCCCTAAAACATCAGAGGACTGCGGCAATGCTGAAGGTACTCGTGAGAGCCATACTCCTCCTTAAACAGGGGAACATTAGGATCTCATTTTCATGAACATGTAAATAAAATATTAATGTCAGTAAAGATAGTTTGTTGAACATCCTGAAAGATGGGAACATCTTTGAAGGAAATACAACCTCTTACTCCTTCAGTAATAGTCCCCACCTTCTTTAAACTCTAAACCATGTGCAGAGGAAGAGCATAAAGGAGATCTTAGCTGGGAATTTTCTAGTACTCTGCTGTAGCTGTTGGATAACCTAAGATTTCAGATGACACAATATGTACTACATTCTCAGTCAATTGGAAATCCTACAAGACTAGTATGAAGAAAAGTAGTAACTTTGGGGTTGATATGGTAAATGCCTGCAGTTCCTGTGCTTGGGAGGCAGAAGCAGAATGTTCATGAGTTCAAGACTAGCCTGAGCTACATACCAAGACCCTGTCTTGAAATAAAATTTTAAAATATTTTATATTAAATTTAATATTTATATTTAACAACACTAGCTTTAATCTTAGGAATCTTATCATATTAGAGCTTGATTTTGCCCATGATAGGATATGGTTCTGTGATAAGCAGAGCAAACACTTTTCCTTAATGACAGGAACCAGAAGACCATGTACAGAAACTGAAAAGTTCTTGAGAACACCCAACAATACAAAGGAAGGCAAGCCTTTGAAGTTTAGTGAAAGGCAGCAGGACAGAAGAGAAGGGAGAACAGCCTTCACCGAGCCCTGGTAAATAGTCATGCTGACCGTGTACTTCAGTTAAGAGAGAAAAGGACCAGAGTGGGTAAAAATGTGGAAGAGTCTCTAGTTGGTGATGGGAGACATCTTTCTCTTGTCATGAGTTTTGAAGTAGGGCACATGGAAAAACTAACTGCTCAGAATCTGAAGATGCCGTTTGGATAGAATTGTGTCACCTCACTTCTAATGCTCATGGGGCCATGTGAGCACAGGGCAATGGACCGTGGCCAGAAGTAGCAAGCATCACTCCCTGCTAAGATGGCAGAACACCTAAGCTACCTTCCCATGCTTTCCTGCTCTGTGGTCACTGTCGAGGCCCATGGGCTAAAACTGAAGTCATCTCAAGGTGAGGGAAGTCTGCATCCCTAACTCATGGCTTTGAGAACACTCAGAAAAGCTGGAAGCAGGGAAGTATCCATATTTATCCCTGGTTAGGGTAGAAAAGAAAACCTTTTACTATGCTATTCTTTTGAGTTTTGAGGTTGTTTGTTACAATAGTGCTCCAATATTTATTTATCCAGAGTAGGAAGAATTTTCCAGAAGTGGCTAAATGGTGCCTGGATTTGCTTCTAGAGCAAAGGACACGTGGGGCAGGAAGAGTTCTGGGTGGCCTTGAGCATGTGGAGGAGGGCTGTTGGCTCCCAAACCCATTCTGCCATTGATTTTTGCTGGGGGCAGTGGTCTTGGACTCATTGATTTCCGTTGCTGATTAAGTTGTGTTCTTGCCTGTCATCAGTCACTCCATTTTCTTTCATCTGTATTCCCATCAGCTTGAAGCTTCGCAACCATGGAGCTCTTGACTCCTCAACTAGACATTCCGGAAGGATTGAACATGGCTCCTCTCCTGAATGGCGGGGTTCAGTCCAGACACTTTTCCCTTCTCGAAGAGAGCTGCTCTCAAGGCTGTATTGCCTGTTAGACATAGAGAACTGTCAAAGCCAGAGGAAGCTCGTCTTCACAGGGACTATGAGTTTACCTGGAGGAAGCTGGGGACCTCCCAGGAGTTACTTAATACAGTAATGCTGTTTTCTCCTCCACAGAAAGAGCTGTGAAGACACCCAGGACCCAAAGTGAGCTTTCCAGCAAACGAAGTAAGGAGTGTAGGGCAGGTGAGAGCTGGTGTGCCAGAGCAAAGCTCTTTCACCCTGAAAACGGTGCAAAAATAAATAGAACCTCATATGGCCCTGAGTGCTTAGACTGGGAAGGAAATATAAGGATAGAGGAGCCGGGGCACCTCTTCTCTCCTCTCCCTGCCAACACAAGCAAATGTAATGAAATAGCTGTGGATGCATGCCTACCTCCTGAAGAACACACTCAACAACACTATGGGCAGGGGTGCCCAGCTGGACACATGCCACAACTGATCTGTCGAACGGGCCACACACATCCTCTGCTGATCACGGCTCATAGAGATGAGAGAGACTCTGAGCTGGGTGGACTTTGCTCATGTGGGTCCTCTCTACACCTTGTTCTCCTCTTTGTTCTTGCTACAAGAAAGTGAGGCAATGGTGAGGACCCACTCCTCCCCTCCCCTCCCTGTACTGCACTACCTTATACATAACGCCCCCCAAAAGATGGTGTTTAGTGCCATCTCTACTGCCCCAGAGGAGAGTCAAAGAATCAGAACAGATTGGAAGCTTTGGGTAGACAGGAGATCCGGCTTCCTTTTGTTCCAGAAACAAATTCTGTCACCAGACTGGGGGCAGACAGGCCACTGTGCTTCTTTATTAGGATTCTAACAGGTAGAGGCATGCATTTCATGTTTTTTGTCCTTTCTCCCTAAGAATAGACAAGCCAGTATGTTAGCTCCTGAACAGTGACAATCTTCAAGGAGGCCAATGCCGTGGGCAGCCCTGTCCCAGATACAATGATAGTGCCTAGATGGAAAGATGGACCCTCTGGGCTCATGTGTGTAAGTGTGTGAGTGGATGTGTGCAGGTTTTTCTGTATTGTTTTATATGTCTCTGTGTGCTTTGTGTACACACATGCATGCTTGGGTTGTGTTTGAGCTGTCTTTTCTGAAATTTCCTTTACAACCGTGGAGAGATGGCCAGACTTAGCAGGTAAGAAAAACCACGTATCCAAAAGATGGCATGTGAGAGGAAGAGGTCCTGGAGTCCTTGGTTTGCTTCTAGGAAGCCAGCAGAATAATCTCAAGGCACTTCTGAGATTCCTGCCTTTTTCTCCTCACACTGAAGTCTATGCAACAATCATGGAGGCCTCTTTGGATCTCCACTCTCCTTTACTCCCTAAACGTGGTTCATGCATTTTAACTTCAGGCCTGAGACTAGCCCGCCATCCTTTCCTAGTCCCTCCTCTCATGTAAGCCAAAGGGGTCTCCTCCTTCCTTGAATGGCACTCAGTGGACTAGCCCCCATAATTTTCTACACACTGTGTGGCTCAGATAATTGGCCCTGTGGACACTGGTACCTTGACTTAAGCATTTTGATGTCTCTATACCACAGAAATAACAGTGCTGATCAACTACTGAACTTGAAATACTCCCCGATAAATGAATGCATTCTCAGGAGGAAGCAACAACTTCAAGTTTTACCCCTTGCTCCCTTCAAACATCCTCATGAACCAACATACCTTTTAACTGACAAATCCCAGAGTGCTTTGCTGTCCTTGCGTGACCCACCGTGAACCTGTTGGAAATCTTTCTCCTGGGCTCCCATCTGCCCTGGGCTCTAGGGCTAGACATGCTCATGGCTGAGCTTTGGGCTTCCAGCTCATGCAGAAGAAGCATTTTCATATGTGTCCTTTTCCATCTGACGCTCAACTAATCCTTCTCAACTTCAGATCTTTGCACAAACTCCTCATGTCATCACTGGGGAGTTTGGGGCCCAGAGCAAAGGTAGGAAGAAAAAGCCCCAAATCTGCACGTTTTATTTCATTGGTACATGTATTTAATCCATCTGCAAACTGTTCATTGGATAGCATCGTCGGCTTCTCTCTCTGGGAACACTAAGGTATGTGTATTCAACAGTGGAAAATAAACATAAGATTTTATTACAAAGTGCCACTGCCGCTCCTGGCATGAGTAATTTGTGCACCTGCATTTTTAAAATGTTTCAAAGTTTTTCCCCTTGGTGGATCGGTGGTAACACACATTAGCTTCCCGGCTGTCACAGTCTGGTTCTTGTAGGCTCCTGTTATTTCTACCCAGGCCATCCAGAAGTCACTGTCTTTAGAACAGAGAACAAGCAAATATGAAGGGTGATCATGGAAGTCTCCAGCAGTCCAGACTCTGCTTCTGTCCTGAAAAATACTTGTCTCCAGGGAGTCTTCTGACCTGTTGCTGGTCTAAATACCAAGGGATAGGAAACAAGTCAGAGTGGTCCCAGTAAGATGTGGTTTGTGGGTACAGAACCGGAGTTGACCTCTCCTGCCATCTCCTCTGCCTTGCTGGCTGCTTTCTCTTAAGCACTGGGATGAAGGTGGTTGAGTGGGACTCCTCAGCAAATATGTGACCCAGTCTAAACCACTTGGTACTGGGTAGCCAGTCAGAAGAGAGCCTGGCTCTGGGGAGCCCCAGGTTTGGAAAGTGCTATCGAGCCACAGGAAGGAGGGACTGTTGCTATTATGACAGCATCCTGGCTTCCTCAGGCTTCCCACTCTTTTGTGTGTGCGCGCAATGATTCCGGTTTGTGCAGGTGTCTGAAGTCATCTCGGCATGCACTGTGCTAGCTAACAATTTCCCCTGTGATGTCTGTAATCTCCTGGAAATGTTCTCCGATTCCTTCCAATGTCCCCCACAACAGCCCCCAAGGCTGGCAATTCCAAGTCATCCCAGGCATGTTAATACTTTCTTGAGTCATATTGCAGCATATTGTACTCTTCCCTCCAACAGCAGGTCTCAGAGGAAGATGCTAATGGCCCAGTGCTACACCAACTTGATCATTAGAGTTCCCGTTTCTCCAAGCAACATCAGGCGGAGAACTTGCTCTAAAGAGCATTTATTTATCTGTCCAACACTGCAAATGGAGACAGAGGGAGCGCTCCTGATGGAACTGCTAGGTGTGACATCTTCATTGTTTAGTGTTATGGAGAGCAACACAACCCTTGTTCATTTAAGCAATACTTAGTTTTCAAACACCACATGCCATCTGCCTTGATGCTCTTTGGCCCAGGCACAGGGTTGAATATCCACAGCATCTTCAATTGTTTAAATGCAAGCCTTCTCTGCCTTAGTGACATGGGTATTTGGGGAATGACATTTTGCTGGTGAGGATCAAATTCCTTATTCTACCTATGGACAGGTGTCTGTGGGCCAGCTGTTTGTCTCTGAGTTTGTCTATTAAAGTGGTTTTTAAGATTCCTTCTTGGAAGGCAGGAAAGATCCTGGGGTGATACTTTCTGTGTTCTGTGCACTGATGTGTACATATGTTAAAGTCCTGGGTTTAAGTTCACAAAGGTACTTCTTAGAGTACTCTAGAACTTCCAAAGCAGTTGGTCTCAAATCCTGCCTTAACTAATGTATGCACCATTGTCCAAAGGCAAAAACTGAATTGTAACTGAAATCATACCACGCATACACCATAGAAGCACACACTACACACATCATATATAAAACACACACATCACAAAATACACACTACACATCCACCACAACAAATATACCACACATATGGTACTGCGTACACCACATATATCACATTCACCACACATGCTACACACAACATATACTATACACCATTCCCACCTACGTTTTTCCCAAACATCACCCCCCACACCACACAAACATACACATGACACCACACCACATACATAAACCACACATACGTACCACTTCACACACACCACACATCACATCCCCACATGTCACACACCCCATGTTTGCTCGACGAGAAATCATGTTTGAGAGTCTTCTAGACTGTTCCCCGCCTTAGTTTCTTGTTGATGTCGTTCTGCATAATATTCTGCAGACTGGAAATAACTGGGGAAATGGTGGCCACATTCAGCAGAGGCCCACATGGCCTTGGTAACACGATTACAGTAAAAATTACTTAGACCATCTACAGTTTTAGGCAAGAGATTATTGCACTAATTATGTCAAGGGTCCAGGGTAAGGACCTTGCACTTGGAGGAAATGTTCAAATGAATAGTTACAACATGGGAACAAAACTAAGGTATGTGGTCCTCCCATCTGGATCGCTGTGATTTTCTTTTGTTATTATTATTTTCTTAACGTGAGGTCTCCTTATAGCCTAGGGTGTCCTCAAACTCATGTATCTGAGGCTGGTCTTGATTTCCTAATCTTCTTAGCTTCATCTGTCGAGTGCTGGGATTATAGGCATGCACCACTAGGGCTCTTGACATGATGGGAACAATTGCATAAGGTTCGGCACCAGGCCGCAATTCAGGGATTCAGGCTACTTCCGTCTTTTGTGACTCTCATCCTTACTCTGCAATCTTCAAGGTCCAAGAAACAAACCAAAGTCTTCTCAATGCAAAGGAGCGTGGAAGTACAACGTGGAGCAAGCCTCTGCCACCACCTCTATTGCCCTGGTATCTGGATATTTCAAGTGGAAATACCCAGCTCCAGTCATAGATTGTTCCTGCACTCTTCTGTGTCTTTGAATGGGTGGAAGACTTGCAGAGGCTTCTTCTTAAGGCTTTTAATCATGAGCATTAACCCAGTGTCATACAATCTGAGCTGGTTATAACTTTGTCGTGTGCATGCACAGGTCTGAGATATTCTTCAATCAGCACCTACCACCTAGATTTCATTATGTAGACCAAGTTGGCTTAGAACTCAGAGATTTGCCTTCATTTTCATTCCAGGTGCTGAGATTAAAATGTGTACCACCAAGACTGGCTGACTTGGTTGCTTTTGACAGTAGTATTTTTCCAATCAGAAAAACAGTGATATCAAAAATGGAATATAATATTATTTTAGAATACCCGTGATAAATTAAATAGTAACTTTATAATAAATTAATAAATACTAGTATTTACACATATTAATATTTACTAATATTATTTATACCCATTTATATACTTCCACAGTGTTTGTAATATTATTATATTAAGAGTGTTAACAGTGTAATTCACTGACGCTCTCTAATGGCACACAAATACGATTTTTTTTTCATGACTCATTATTTAACTACTTAAGCTTGGTTTCAACATGCATGTTTCTTAGCATGATAATTTTGCCATGTTAGCCTACAATGCTTAAAATGATTCTTTTTTAAAATCATTCTGAAATACTGGTTTTATTGTGGCATCCTATTTTTGGAGTTCTGATGAGAAACAGCAGAACAGTGAAACCTCTTCAGAAATTCCACACACTGGAATCTGAACCACTTGGAGTCAAAGCTTCGCCGTCTAATGACACCAAGATCATAGGTTTGGGGGCATTTGCTCCATTGTGCCTGAAATAAACTTGCTGTCTTCCCGGTCTCTATTTTGAGGACACCGAACTAAAGGGAAGTCTACTTCTCAAGAGAATAACCAAGCCAAGGATGTCATGTTCCATCTTTGTGATGAAATGCAGACTTGTCACTAAAAGGCCAATTCTTCATTTCCAGACCCAGAATATAAATGGATCCCCAAAAACGTTGGTTAATGAAACCCTGGCCCCTCTCTCCTAAAGAAGAATTTGGGAATATACTCTGGGCCTTAGCCAGAATCTTTCATGTGAGTGCAGACCATCTGAGTGTTCTTTGTCTCTTGATCTTGTCCTACAGTATTTGCTGTCCACAGGGTGGCAGACCATTTTGTCAGTGGTCTCCATGAGTACCATGCCTGACTTATTTCCCGGTCTCTCACAGGTGAACACAGCCCATTTGAGTTCTGGGTGCTCTGGAGGGAGACACTGATTCAGAAGACCTGCAATCATTCCGGGTGTTTGGGGCCTTCCAGGCACTGCCCTGATTAGCTTCCCTTCTCCTAGGCAGACATTTTCTTCTTCTTCTAAACAGTTTGTGCAAAGATAAAACAGTTTGTGCAAAGATAGGGATGCCCTCTTTCTTTCTGCCTACCATTTCTAACAGTTTAGGTTAGGTTAGGTTAGGTTGGTGTGTGTGTGTGTGTGTGTGTGTGTGTGTGTGTGTGTGTGTGTGTGTGTGTGTACAGGCTGAGCTTAAGAGATTTCTAGGTCTTGAGGGATCTTAAAGACTCTTTCCTCACTTGCCAGCTAATCCTGGTGGACTTCAGTTTGGGGCATTCCCTTCATTTCCGAGCACCAAAAGCTCCTCTTTTTTCCCTATTTACTGATATCCCCGTGGCTTAGATGACTCATAGTGGACTTTGGTGGCTGCCGTGGACTGGTCACGGAGGACCAGATGGATAAGATTTAGTATCTCCATTCTACATTGTTGTCTTGCAGCATAAAGGGGGTTCTAAGGGAGACACTTCCAAACCTTAGGAGGACACAGTAAATGCACGACACAGCAAACACATCTGCTTCTTTCCTGTTGAGGCCCGAGGGGTCAGCCTGCCATCTAACACCTTCTTGTGTTTGTGTTGGTTTTTCTGGGACTTCCAATGCGACTTTGGAGGGTTAGCCTCTGAAGTCTGGCCTGTCCAGTGTGTTCCTCATCCTCAGTATCAACAAGGGGAGAGCCAAGTCCATGCTTTCACGGGGATGACGGGAAAGCAGAACTACCTGGAAAACTAGCTTCTACTTGCCCATGGCAGAGAAATGCAGAAGCAGTACCCATCACCCTAATGTGCTCATCTTCAGACACCCCACAGTCAGTGTCAGCGTTCTGCACAGAAGCTAAGTGGGGAGACAGGTAGGGTGACCTTCATAGCAGAGGGGGGCCAACCTCTCAAGCTACAGCTGTGTGGCTCACTCTTGATGTAAACTTGTGTGAAGAAAGGAACTGAATGACATTCCCAGCCTAGAGAGATTCCGTTTCATCATTTTGTACACATACATTCACGATGTGCTATATGTTATATATAATTCACTAAAGTATGCTTTTTAAAAATAGATTTGAGGAGCATGGAGACCCCAGAAGCGTATGTTATTGTACTGGGCTCAAGTTTCTCTTTCCCGCCCACAGGGGACCTCTGAGGGTCTATTTGAGGGCATGAATATGGAAAATTCAGCTCCAACCCCCCCACCCCCACTCCCTGAACAGCACTGCAGAACTATGAGATTTTGAAAGAACAGATGCAAGAGACAAAATAAGTGTAGGAGGAATTTGGGGAATGGGTCCTAGGAATCGCCATGTTTCCTATCACTCTCAGAACACGCAGATATTTCCAGGGGTACTGTACATCTGTGTGGCTTCAAACCACCAATTATTTTTCCAAGCAACATAATTACTGCCTTCTCCTGAAAATGCCAAACACTCGAATGAAATGCAGCTTTAGAGATCTTCACTTACGTTAATTGGTTCCAATTACTCAGACCAGCTTTGCCCCCCTAAAACACGTGAAAGCCAAGAGTTCCTTTTCTCTCCCCTCCCCCCACTCACTTTTTGTAAAGAAAGAAAGGAAGGGAGGAAGGGAAGAAAACAAGAAGACTTCACGTGAGATCTCCATATTTGCTGGGACTCAACCGAACTTAGATAGGGAGCATAATAATTGAAGAGACAAGAGAACCAGTCCAGCCTAGTCTATGGCCTGTGGTCTGCAGGGACACTCAAGGGTCGCAGTAGTCACTGGCCTTCCCATCCAACCACTCTGAACATATTCTGTTGGGCTTGGTTTGCTGAGTGTACATGCTCGTCAAAGAATGTGGGGATGGATTATTTATAAGACATTCACTTCCAATTAGTGTTGCTTAAAATGTGAGCTTGCACTTGGCACACAGCACAGCAGCTGGGTCTGTTCTGAGGCTGGGCATGTCGGGGAGTGGGGTGTGGTGAGGTGCCTCGTACTGAGCAACTGTGAGACCCTTCAGCCAGGACGACAACTGGGAACAGCCTTGACTTGATGCAGATTCTTAGTTTAGATGTGCAGCCCTGTACATGACGTGATAAAAGACATAGAAGGGGACATTTTTGATGTTCCTGGGAACAATGCATACAGGCTTAGAGACTGTCGGGCCATTTTGACCTATTCTTCTGGTGCCTGCCAGGAGAACTGATCCATTTCATTTAGTAACTGTGTCTGTCTCAATGGAAACCAACCCCACATATAACATCGTGGAGGCCGAGAGCCGCTGGCTTCTAATTCCAGGATCTGATATGGTAAGTAGACTTTCTAAAGATGAATTTACCCATTCTTAGCCAATCAAATTAACTAAATTGAAGACTCCTTTTGCTGAGTTTGATGAAACCCCTGCTAACTGGGGTCAGGAAGGTGAAGCTTCTAAGATATGGAGCCCCGCCTTTCTCAAAGACAGGGCCGAGGGTGGGGCTTTGTCTGCTGCCCGTTCAGCAGGGGGCGCTGCAGAGGAAGACAGATGGGAAAGGAAGCCAGAGCATCTGGGAAAGCTATCCAAAGCCCGCCTTTATTACTCAGGCTAGAACATGGTGGATCCCAGAACATGATGCATTCCACGGAACCTACAGCAGGACCCTCTAACTTGGAACATATGTGATCCGGGGTGGGGGGGGGGTGTACACTGTGCATTACTCTGTGCATTACCGGCTTGCTGTTCCATGTTACCACAGCGCCTCCTCTGCAATTAAGGCCTTAGGCAAGCAGAGCTATAAACACCCAAAGCTCCGATTCTCCTGCTTGAAGTTTAGTCTCCATGCAATGAAATGAGTTCAGTCTGAGCTTTACATGCCAAGTGTCGCTGTCGTAAAACTCCCCTTCATCTGGCATTGGCTCCGAGCCCCCCTCAGATGATGTGACTGCGGTTTGGACAGACAAAGGGCCGTAGCCTGTCTCGTCCTCAGGGGTGTCCCCTTAGCAGTTCCACAGCCTGCTGTATTTGTGGGCCCTTGAAGACAGTCAGCTGGCCGAACCTATCCTTGTTGAAAGGGTGGTTTTCTGAATGTCAGTCTGGACTCAGAACTAAGACTGGGAGAGATCTTTGCAGACATGAAGAAAAAAGTCAGAGGATATTCTATCATGGCACATGATTCAGAGAGCACTGTGTTAGGAAACCACAAAGGCCCTTTCTTCCGGGTTAAAAGATAGTAAAATTGTCTCAGGAAAGGTGTGGCCAAGCAAAAGGACTTCAAGACATCACATACCATTGAATACAAAATGCCCAAGTTGATGGGTGGGGGAGACAGCTGGGTTGGGCAAGTGTTTGTCTTGCAAGCCTGGGGACCTGACCTCAGTCTTTTAGGGCTTCCAAGTGAAAAAAACCATGTGGAGTAGTGCGTTTGTGACCCAGGCACCAGGGAGATGGAGAAGGTGTGGACCCCTCAGGCTCACTGTTCAGCCAGTCTAGCTTACCTGGGAAACTCCAGGCCAGTGAGAGACCCTGTCTCAAAACAACAAGGTAAACACTGCCTGAGGAAAAGCAGCTGTCATTGCCCTCTGGTACACACACACACACGCACACGCACGCACACGCACGCACTCACTCATCACAGAACCTGAGGTATGCTTTCCCTACACTTAAATCTTTTGCTTCCCATCAAATCTTCAGTGAGCTAGAGATTTAAAAAATAAACAAATAAACAACAGCAGCAACAACAAAAGAAAACAAAACAAACAAACAAACCCCAGGAACACAAAAACCCAGTCAGGAATTCAGGGAGAAGCATTTTTCTTCCTCTAAGGGAATGTTTTTGTCAAGCTGATGGAGCCAAGTGATAGACACACAGTTTATTCCTTATCCATCAGAAAAGCAAGGAAAAACCAGAGGCCACTCGGCACTGTGGGAAGGACTTCCATAGAACAGAGCACTTTCATGCTGGGGAAAGCAGTGACGATATTTGGATCGCCTTTGGATGACGGAAGCTTCCTATTGATTATTCTCAATCTCTTTCAAAAGAATTTTCCTGGGGCTTCGGCATAACTATAAAAAGACATTATTCATTTGTGTGTGAGTGGGGTGGCTCCTTTCACTCTGTTGTGCTTTCATTTGTTTGTCTGTTTGTTTGGGCGGGGGGGTCGTGTAACCCAGCACGTGTGTGGTGGGCAGAGGACAACTTGCAGGAGTTGGCACTGTCCCTCCGCAGCGTGGCTCTCAGGACTGAACCCAGGCGTAAGCCTTGGCAGCCAGCACCT